CTAGCTGATTAACAGCGTGTGTGTGTGTGTGTGTATTTCCCCGCCCACCTCCCGCCCGATCCCCCCGCCGGTCTGAGTGAGCCTGGGCGAGGACTTCCAACAGGACAACAACATGTATCGGCGCGACGAGCCGTCACCACCGCCGTACATCGCTGTACATCGCCGTCATGTGTGAAAGTGTAAGTACGAGAGGGGCATCGTTTCACACGTCCCCCCCCCGTCCTGCAACGCTTTGCCATAGCATGTCGGATTTGGGATGCCGGATTTGTATTGCCGACCACCAATCAATCTGCATCATCAAAGTTTTGTTGTGGTATGCATGATGGCATGGCATGGTCGAGGGTCGTTTGGTTCCATGTCTTGCGTTTCGTTGGAATCTTTTGCGAATTCGGCCACTCCGAAACCGTTTCGTAGTGTGTATGTAACCCCGTCATCCCCGCCCGAATCCCCTGATCACTCGCTGCAACAACACCTGCCGGGTCTGGGCCGCCACCGTCATTTTCACCATCAGCATCACCGTCGACGTGGAAGACATGCCATTTTGATCGCCGTCGGCGTCTTGCCATCGGCGTTTCCACGTCACGGTTTGTCGTACCACCGGTGAGTCTAAGCTATACTTAAATGCCTGGCTTGTCTGTGCAGTGCAGTTCCTGGTTGACGTTGCCGTAAGTACGTCATTGTACAATTTGGCAGTGCGTCACGTCTTGTTTGTTAGTTGGACGTCTCGCCGTCGGCATCTTTTAGTTCTTGTCAAATTGCTGTTCTTGCACGGCGGCTTTCTCCGCTGCCCTCACAGGCACTGCAGCAACGGGGAAGGGGTGGCTCGCTGGACAGCGGTGCCGGCGCCGTCGGCAAGCTATCAGCAGCTGCCGCCGCGGCGGCGCCGGCAGTAAGACCCCTAGCGGACTTTGCCTTTATCAGAAGTGCACCGAAACGTCGCGTCTCCGCCGGCCGCACCGGGATGTTGGTTAATACGCCCTCGGCACCGACGGGGCCCATGGGAAGGTGCCGTGCCAGTGTGCTCGTACAGCCGGCGGATGAGGCGGCGGCGCCGACAGATGCTGACGAGGCACTGCTGGACGGCAACGGCCCCACGCCGCAGTTGCTGCGTCGAAGAGCTGCGACGCCTGAACTGGAAAACAAACGTGGTGGAAGCACAGGCGCCTCCCGGTCACACCAGCCGCATCGACGGTGGCGACGCGGACGGCAGCCGAGAAGGTATCGAGCGACGCTGCCGGTATCGTTGCTGTAAGGTTGGGCTGACTACAGTTTCAAATTTAAACATATACCGTAGAGGCAAGGAGGTGCATAAATGAAGAATACCGTCACGAATTCAGCTATTGGAAGAGGTCCGAGGCGATTGTTGCAGTTGGGGGTTGGCTGTCGTACCAGAAAACCTGCCGAGGTTGTCCCTCAGCCCGGGGAGTACATTGGATTTCCGGGTGCGTATTGTGCAGCACGTAGAAATTACTTTAATTGGTGGGTGGCGGATGCTTTGGTGTGTGGGCCCTTGGGGCTTCTCCTCGCGTCGAAAAGGCATGATCAAATTGCAATAGCCGATAGGTTCAGGTTCGCAGGGAGTCGGGGTTACGTTCTGCGCTTCCTAAGCCCAGGCTTACATGTGTTTGAATCGATGCCTGTAGGGCTGATGCGTGTAACACATGCAACTAAAACCGAAGCCAGGACTCAGAACCATGCCAAAACTCAAATGCCCGAAATTAGCTTCATATCAACAGTTAGATATTTTCATTCTAGACACGTATATTATTGCTTTATACGGCTCGGAGCTGGATAGCTCAGGCTTTTGTGGGTTTGACTGTAATGCACCTAGGTCGTCCAGGCGCCTTCGACGGTTGAAGTTGGAGTTGTCCGTCTCTTGTCTTCCCAGAATGCATGAGCTATGAAATGTTTTGATTGCATTAAGGATCAGGCAATTGGATAGCAGCACCAGGAAGACTACATTGCAAAGTTTGTCCTCACAATTGCTTCTGTTTGCCCGCTTACAGGCAGAAACTGGAAGATCTGCGTGATGAATGCTGTGAGCAGGACGACAATTACATCTACCTTTCAGCGTGCGATGTTCCGTGTCTCGTCCGTGTCTCGTCCCATGTTAGGGCTCGGTGACATGGAGCGACGGGGAGATGACATGCTGGGCCTAGGCGTTCAAAGCAAACAGGTTAAGCAGGAACTGATGATTTCGACAACCTTTAGTGTGGGCTTTGATGGGGTACGTAGGCGTTGCGTCCAGTGCCGTTGCGTGCTGTACTGCACTTCGCAGTGCAGTTCGTCGTACCCTGTGCAGCGCCTGGTGTATTGTCCGGTGCCATGTTGGACGTTTCCTTGCTATCGTGTTCGGCTGGCGGCTGGCAGCAGAAGCGGTCTGGCAGGAAAGTACACGTCGTTAGGCGAGACATGACCACTTCGTCCGATGTCCGTGACCTTCCTCGCGACAGAGACGACTGCTCATTGGAGTTGCCCAAGACCTTCCAGATCGACCGCGTTCCACCTGGCAACGAGAATCTCTGCGTACACCACATTTCAACTCTCCAAGACCCCAGTGCGATGTTGCGTCGGCGTGAAGCAAGGGCCCCCATTGTCAACGCTTCTAATCAACGCAGTCAAGCTCACATCGTCTTCCGCTGCCGGTGAGTGACGCCGGATGCACGGTCGCCCGTACATGTCGTACGTTAGTTAGAACGCGCCTAGATTTCCGGCCGTGAGGCCGTTACACGTCGTATCAAGGTCGGCCATCGTTCTTGGATTCTATGGGTGAAGGCGCGTTGCAAATGGATAGACGAGTTGGTGACGGAGGGGGATTTCGGTATGAAATTGTTGTACCTTGGTAAGGTGCGGCGTGTAGGGAGTACGGCATGGAGGTCTTTCCCCGTATGTTCACTGCGTGGGTGCCACTTTGTGTCCGTTCGTGATGTAGTGATGTCGTACATACGTTCGGAGCAAAGTTTCTTGCTGTGGGTGTTTCGTGGCGCGGTGTTTTTCTCCTGTCGTGCCGGCAAGCAGCAACAGCGACAACGACAGCAAAAGCACAAAGGCAGCAAACTGCAAAGATAAGG